GCATATCAATTATATTGAAGGGAAATAAAATATTTCAGAATAATAAATTTTATACAGTCTGGGAACTAGATGGAAATACCAAGCCTGGTCGGAATTGGGCTTAATTTACCAACTCTTGAGCTAATTAGACCAGCAAATTAGTCCGTGATATTTAACTGACGAAAATCACACTGCACTAAGTGTCCTTGTTTTAATTAAATAAACAAAAATAACCTGAAAACGTTGAAGAAAATCACAGAAAAAAAATCCTATTTCAAGGGAAGTAACTAAATTTAATATGGAATTGAGTTATTTCCCTTGTTCACAATATAATGAACGCCCAATCAAGTCAAATGATTCTTTTTTTAAGCCACCATTAAAAAGTATATTAATATATAGATATAAACAAGCATTTGAATTTATGAGATAAGTTATTGATTCAGTTAAGCCAGTGTCTTTGCGTTCATTTTCTTTATTACAACGTTTCGGCCGATGTACTTCTGCGGTATCCATTGTCTGAATTTCTAAAATTAAATAGTTTCCTCAACTTTGTTGCCTTTTTGGCAACGAACCGCTTGTTTTTATTATTCGTCCTTTCTCAGGTATTTATCATATTCGGGAAAATAGAAGCGAACCCTTCATCAGAACTACAGCGACATATAGTCTTCATTCCTCTACCGCTTACATCTGTTGTTCTATCGACAAAATTTTCAGAAATCAATGGCCCCACTTAAACTCTTACAAATAACGAAGTCTATCCAGGCAATATCAATCAATTTGTTGTGGGTTGTAGGTGAGTGAAAATGTATGAGAAGGTAATTTATGTAAAGGCAAAGATTATGCATGCTTATTATGCATTATCCCACAACACGTAGATCTAATAAACACTATAAGGTCAATTTGTATTGCAAGAAATTACTAAAAACACAGTGGTTAGAGATCCAACAATAAAGAGATTTTTATATATACAATAGATATATACATGCAAGGATAACAGAATATTTGATGATTGTGGCAATTGAGACAAGGTTATGAAGAATGTTCATGCAGAAATTTGGTCAATAAAAGTATAAGGGTTTGATTTGTTAGTGAAATTAAAATAATTTGGTTTCTGCAAGGAAAAATCTCAAATGTGTTCGTTCAAATATTAGTGTGTATGCGTTTGTTACTTGTTAGTTAGAATTTAAGTTGTGAAGAGTTGTTTACCTTTAACTGTTTGGCTAAATTGATGAATTATACAATTACTGTTTGTGTAGTGAAAACGTTGATTTTTTAAGTCAATTGTAATTTGATTACCACGCGGACAATGGTCGATTGAGTGCTGTGTTGAGTTTGTTGAAAATTTTGAAGTGATGTTGAGTCAGTGAATTGACACGCGTGGAGTTTGGTAGCATCTCACGAAACTTGATGACTGACTGACTTGAATTGAGTCATGCGGTTGTTTATATCGACTTTGGTGTCTAAAAATCGGCTCCAGGGTGCTTCAACGGGAAAAACGATTTGTTTCGACTTTGCTACAGTTTAGTGTTTCCTAACCAAAAGAAGATTGAATTTACTGAAACGAAGTGGTGATTGGTTAAGGCTTTTTTTTTTTTTAGGGAAGAATACATCTTTTCCGAAAGGAGTGGAATGCTAATGTGGAAGATTCCACAAATTAACAAAAAACATTATCTCTAGAGCAATGGTGCTTTAGTTTGTTTCAAAATAGTCCCTTGTAACATTGCTTTTCTTAATGTCTATTTCTACGTTCTTTTAAACTCCATCTCTACCAGCTACTTCGTTTCGTTCTCTTTAATCTCGTCCACTGTCCGAAATTTTCATGGCAATTTAACTTTGGAGAAAGACAAAAATTAAAGGAAGTCAAATCTGAAAGGCAAAGAGAAGCTGACAAAACTGGGTGATGTAACGTGCCCTAAAAAAGCTTGCAGTAGACGTGAAAAATGGACAGACACATTATTGTGAGAATGTCTATTCAGGTATGCCAAGTAAAGAACTTTCTGGTTGCTTGCTAAAAGACGATAAGTCTGCTCAACCGGTTCTCGAGATATTTAGAACGGGCCGGCATGTTCCCGGCGGACTTCGTGTAAAAAAGTTTAACAGGAAAGAGAAAAGGATTATTTTTTTTAAAGCGCGACAATCAATGTTTTCCTCGTTCGTGCTTTTGGCAAATTCCGCAAATGTTTGAAATCAAACTTTTTTTTAATTTATTTTCTAACAACTTGGTTTCTTCAGTTTCACACCCGTTTTCATCAATTTCAGATTCACACAAATATAAATTTTTACTGAATAATAAACCGATAATTTAATGTTGAACGGTCTAATATAAACAATGAAAAAAAAACAAAACAAAACAAAACAAAACAAAAAAAACAAAAAACAAAACGCAAGAAACGATTTATAAAAGCGATCGCTTTCTCTGTGCCGTACCTCTTCGGAACATAGGCACTCATGACACTCCACTGATTCCTGTCATCACCATTTGACTTAGTAAGAAGAAAAATAACATCATTTCAAGATTCAATGACTAGCTAACCGTGACTCGATAAAAACACCATGGAGAAGGCAACGACAATGCTGTACACTATATCTCCTAAAAACAATCATGGCAATTCCCGGCTCATAAAAAGCGATATGCATTTCAATTTTTAGATGACTTATGAATACCTAGTCTGAACAATCACGAACCAAATTTTATTGCTTTGTGACAACACTACTATACACACAAGACTCATTAAAAGACTCGGATGAAAGAATGACCGGGGAAAGGTTATAAAAACGAAATATGGAATATTGTAGTCGACAATGAGTGGGGAAATGCAAGTAATAAATTTTTAAAAACATTCAAGAGAGATGCTCAGTTTTTTTCATTTGATGTTTCTAGAATGCGCCTTCATTAAAAAAAAAAAAAAACATAAGTTGCTCTAATTATTTATAGAAGGAGAGCGAGTTCCGGTTGAGTGTAGACAGCAAGAAGACATAAATAAAAAAAAAAGTAGCTCTGTTTTATTCTTATTTGAGGTTTGGTGCTGTTTTGAGGCGGGTGTAGGGTGGATGGTCTCTACAAGTTTTCCTGGCGTTTTTAACACGAAATCTGCACAAACATAACTATTTGCCTGTTTTGTGGAGTTTGATGGCTGGGCTATTGGAGAGGAAACGAATCGCGTTTGGAGCCACGCACAGATTGGAAAAGTTTTATTTTTTTTTCCCGGAAGAAGAGAATCTTGGAGCTATCATGAAAGAGTGTCCAAAGGACACCAACATTTTCAGCGGCATTTGGTGTGATTGGAAATACAAAAGGCTATCTCATTTCGGTGGAGATGAAGTAAAGTGGATCACGTGGCCGTCGCTTGGTGACGTCACTTCATACGAAGTGGCAGTCAGTCCGTCAGCTTCCTGAAGACAAGACACACGAGTTGTTCGTCCAGCACCAGGCTTCTGCCCGAGCCAGAAAGCTTCCATGTAGTGCAGCTTACAAGCCCATGGCGACGGTTTCATTTTGGGAATATTTGCCTTCTCCAGAAACACAGAAGAATCTCCATATTATATGTAAGACACTATTTTTTCGTTCACTTTGCTTATTGTGTATATATGTTATAGTTTCTCTGCGTGGGGCACAGATGCAAATATCTGTATAATATATAAAAAAATATAATTTTGTATATGGCGTAGAGGTAAAAAAACTCTCAATAAGAATAAAGACGGTTGACATTCCTTTTTTTCAGTTATACCGTTCCGTCTGTGAAATAAAGTGTTATTATATCAAGGATATAATAATGGCCGTAATGTAGGGAATATAAACGGGAGAATAAACATTTTTTCCATAGCACGCCAATTAGCGACGTTTTGGAGAAACTAGATGGTGAATAAAAAGCTCTCAGAAACTAGGTTTGATTTCTTGAAGGCTTCTGATATGAAGTCGTTTAAAAATACTGATAGCACGTTGAATTGGTGTTTCTTTTAAAAAATACCGCTTTTAATATGAGACACTGATAAGGTTAAATTTCGTGAAGGCCCTTTATTGTTAATAAAAAAAAACATTGATAATACGTCATTTTGGCTTTGTTTGTTAAAACAAGAAGTTTTTTATTAAAAGAGATTTTGTCTATCAAAAGACACAGTAGATTTACGTTAACTCAGTAACCAGATCATCAAGGTTTATTTGAACCAAGTCTAGAAAAAAATCAAATATATTTGTAGCAATTTCCTTTGGTTCTATTACTAGTCTCCGGTAAAAATATCGGCGGTTTACCTGTTGTGAAGCAGCAGGATAACTTGGAGGCACAGTGAAGGAATTGGAGAGCCGAGTTCGAATTCTACTCAAGTTTGTCACATTCACTTAAGTACAAATAGCCTTGGGAAAGGTAAGAATCTATCTTTTATATCCCCAGCTCCCTGTAAATAGCAGGATAAATTGGACCCTATAGCTTTGGGTGCAGACGGACAACTCTGAATTCAAAACCTCCAACTATGGGTTAAATAGCCTCACCAACCCGCAATTGGCTAAGCATGGTAAGTGCGGTCACTACTCGTTTCAGAGCCCACACGTCTGTTGGGACAGCTAGCAAACCCCTATTACAGACGCCTGATCAACCCACAGAATCTATATGTGGTATATGCTGTGCGGACCTTAGGTTTTTTGGGAGAGAGTGCATAATCTGGTGTGATCAATTTTTTGAACGTGGCCAGCACGCTCAAACTCTCTGTCACGATGACTTGTGATTTTCTGCTAGCACAACAATCGACGGCTTTTGTACGGTTGCGTCTATCCGATTTAAACCCACAAGGCTTAGGTTAACCCGTGGTCTGTTTTTTTTTTTTCAGGCACTTTCCAAACGTGACGCGCGTTGGGATTGCCCCCTCAAGAAGTAATCTCCCTGACAAGTCGACCATGGTGAAATTCGAACTCGGATCTCGTGGCCAAAACGTCGTAACCTCTTGCTCACACACTCATAGAGTATAGATACAATTATGTATGGTAATGCTGGCCACTAGAGAGCTGCTATAACAGGTGACGTTGAATGTTAGAGAGAGAGAGAAAGAGGAAGAGAGAGAGAAAGAGGGAGAGAGATTGAGAGAGAGGGAGAGATAGAAAGAAGAAGAGAGAAAAAAGGAAAAGGAAGAGAAATAGAGAGAGAAACAGGAAGAGAGAGAGAGAAAAAGAGAAAGAGAGCGAGAGAAAGAGAGAGAAATAAAAAAGGCTCTGGAAATAATACCTGGTAAAAGAAGCAGGGGAATTTCGAATTTAAGAGGTCGTGAGATCAATAAGTGCTTGTGAAGGAAGAATACAGTAAGGTCACGTAAAATCTGGCTCTCACGGTAACAAAAGAGGAAGACGACGTTTCATAGTATGGGGGGAGAGAGAGAGAGAGAGAGAGAGAGAGAGAGAGAGAGAGAGAGAGAGAGAGAGAGAGAGAGAATAAAGATTTGGAGTCTTTTTTTAACTCCAGAAGATGCGGACTCGAATGTCGATGTGACTGAGCCTATGTTCCGTCTGTTAATAATCCGCTTTTTACCGTATCAGACAAAGTCTCGACCAACTTTATTGTATTTGTGTGTTTTTCCATTTGTGTGTTTTCCATTATTCGAGTTAACATAATGTAATTATTCACGCATTTTCCCGAAATTTATAAGGCTTTTAAGCTGCGTATTACACATTTTCCGGTCACGTGTCATCATATTCAGGTCGATATGACCAAAATAATTTATATTTTTACCCAAATTAATAAAAAAATGAATTTAAAATCACTAACCAAACATTAAAAAAGTTTAAAAAAAATATTCCCATCAATATTAAACACATTTTTTCTGTTTCACAAAATTTATGCAGTGTGTTTGAATTTATATTGTAAGACGCCTGACCAACTCCTGTGGGCACCTCCTTCTTTCTTGTAATCGGCACCTTCATGCAATTCAAGGATTCAAAACCTGTTAACCTTAAAATCTGCTTGATAATGTTAGAAAAGGGGAGCTTGGAAGAATATTAACCTTTCATATGTAATTCCCCCATTATGGGCATTATTATAGCCATGATATAATAACACCGTATTTCACGGGCGTAACGGAATGGCTTAAAGCAAAAAGGAATGACACACATGTTTTGTTCTCAGAGAGACATTTATACCACTAAGACATGCACAAAACTATATATATATTTACACATTTCCCACGCAGAGAAAATATAACATATATCCACACAAAAAGCAGAGTGAAAGGAGAACGAAAATATAGGATCTTACATATAATATGGCGATTATTCAGTGTCTGTGGAGAAGCCATTTTAGGACTCCAGATTCAAACGGGCCGGACTCATCAACTAGCGTTGACATATTCCGCGAAAGGGAAACGGCGAGTTTTGTATAAGGACTGCTAGCCGGAGATGGTTTCTTTCTTTATTTGGGGAAGATATATTCCCATAGGGAAGAGGTAGCCATGGGCATGTAAGCTGAAGCATATGCTGAAGGAGGCAGATCTAGCCTCAACCCGGGCCAAGAGGCCCGTTCAGCAACCGCTCAGTTTGACTCCTGGAAGCCGAATGAAATTGACTGCCATTTTAGTTCCTGTACAGAGTGATGTTATTAAAATTAATTGAATACAATTAAGAATTATTAATGATTTAAAACCCAAGTCTTTGATTTCAACGTTTTTCCCTTATTACATATGCATAAATGTAAATAAAACTGTCTTTGTTTTTTGAAAAAATTACTTTTGAGGTGTTTGATAAAAGAAAGCAAAGTCGTTGTGAAAAATGCGAAACTGTGTGGGAGAAAATCTCACCTAGCTTTGTTCGCGTGAAAAAAAAGAGTGATTTCATTCATCGCTTATAAATATATATATATAAATAATATATATATATATATATATATATATATATAAATAAAATAAACGTATATTCATTTATTATAATTATTATGAAGAGGGACAATTGAATACCCACCTAGATCACCAGATTTGACACCCTTGGATTTCTTTTTGTCGGGGTTTTTAAATACAACAGGAAACTTGAAACAATTTCTGAAATGAGATTAGCAACTGAAGAAGAATATGATCAAATACCAGTGGAAATAATACTGGACGTTTGTAGGTCTATTTCTTCAAGATATGAAAAGTGTATTGAACAGAACGGCAACCATTTTGTGCACTTGATGTGAACTCATCATTATATGAATATTCTGCCATTATTTAGTTAATTTCTGCTGCCCAGGTAGCTTTTATCTTATTAAATTTAATTTTCTATGTTTTTTTGTATATTTTACTCTCAAATTCTTTAAATGTGTATTCTTTCTCTTGTATTAATCTTATTTACAAGTCAAAATGCATAAATTGAATAAGTTATAACGATTCAAAAAGTGTATACATTATTTTGGGACACCCTGTATATATATATATATATATATATATATATATATATATATATATATATATATATTTTTTTTTTTGAATAAATTATTTCTGAAATTTACGCGTTTTATAAGCATATTCATTTTGAAATCAAAATTTCTATGGTAACAGCTAGAGCAATTGTTTAAAGAAAAGGGGCGTAAGGTGTTAATAATTTAGTTACATTCACAGATGTCAAGTTAGGGTAAGGTTGGGGTGTCTAAATTTAAAGCGGAAGATGACATCGTCTAGTCTGGTTAAGTGTCTATCGAGATTTATTTATTTTTTTATTTTATTTTTTTCTGTACGCCCCTTTTCTTTAAGCAATTGCTCTAGCCATTACCATAGAAATTTTGATTTCAATAATGAATATGCTTATAAAACGCGTAAATTTCAGAAACAAGTTATTCCGAAAAAAAAAAAAAAATTCGCTTGAAGATGGAACAGAGCTTAATACTTTAATTCAATTTAATTCAAATAATTATATTGAAGTTTTCGGCTCTTGTTTTGAAACATGAGAACTCTTATGTAGCGTGTTGGAATCATATTTTTAAATAAATAATTATATTTATGCTCTGCTTTTGTATCGAGCACTATTTTTAAAAAATAATAACAAAAATACTAAAGAACTTTGGATTATTTACCTAACGAGTTCTTTCCTATTTTCTATATATTTTTCACACACACACACACACACATATATATATATATATATATATATATTAGAGTAGATTAGTTTCAATGATTCATTCCTCATACGAACAAACATTCTTTTTCTATCATACTAACCACACTGTCATAGTGTTGTACTACTTTTATTATCCCATCTCTTGCCAGGGGTTTTTGAGTGGCGGCGGCGTTCTTTAAGTCAGGGGAGAATTTGAAGTCTATAATTAGTTCACATCACTTTCAAAGTGGTGGTGGTGGTGGTGGTGGTGTAAATAATTTTCTGGCACATCCGTATTTCGTCACAGAATTTGTTTGAAATGTCTGTAATGTTTGGATTCTTGTTTTTTTTTTCTCCTTTATTTTCTTGTAAACTTTCCCTTGTTTTGGAACGGGCGGTTTCGAGTATATTACCGAAATCTCTGTCACTATCCTTTCCGACTTTCTTCTTTGGCCATTATTTAGTTAATTTCATTTCATTTCACTATTCTTTCCTGTTTCTGTTTGCCTTTTCACAATAGGCTCGTGTGAAAAGGAGAAAGAGCCAACACGTTCTACACATGTTCACACACACACACACACACACACACACACACACACACACACACACACACACACACACACACACACACAATATATATATATATAGCGCATAAATTATATTTTAACTTAATAAAAAAAATAACGAAAATGAAAAAAATCGGCAGTCAATCCCTGAAGCCTTCTGACGAGTGGACGGAACGATTACAAAAAGTGTCGTTTAAGAAACTCAATATAATATAAATCGGCTTAGTGACAAAATCAATATTTGTATCAATCCACCGGGTGAAGCTACGGTGGAGCAATGGATAGCGGCTCGGAGGAATCGGAGAGCCGAGTTTGAATTCCAGTCGGATCCATTACATTCACTTACGTGCTAACACCCTTGGGAAAGGTCTGAATCCTCTTCTTCTCCCCCCATGAGTATGAGTAAATAGCAGGACAGACTGGATTCTACAGTTCGAACAACCGCAAATAAGTTGTAGTTTGGGCCAACCGCGGATAATTTGTATGTTCGACTAGGTAGGTTGACCCAACTGCAGATGTGTGATAGGTTGAACCGACCGCGGATAAGTGGTCGACTAGGACAAACGCAGATGAGTGGTAGGTTGAGCCGACCGCGGATAAGTGGTCGATTGGGCAGGTTAGTGCAGAAGTGCAGTATGTGGGATCTACCGCAGATAAGTGGTAAGTTGCGAGAACCGCGGATAAGTGGTCGATTTGGCCAACCTCCTATAAGTGGTAGGTTGGACCAACTACAGATAAGTGGGAGGTTGAGCTAACCAGAGATAAGTGGTAGGTGGGGTTATTTAGACTTTCGACACAATTTGACCCCACAAGAAGTATTTACTATCACCAAGAAACGTAATGTCTGAAACCACAGAGAATGAAGACCGGCAGTAAATCCATAACTCTTGGATTCACACATAGCCACACACACACATGCGATCATATATGCAAGCATACACACATATGCATATATATGATTATATATATATATATATATATATATATATATATATATATATATATATATATATATGCGTACACATATCTAACATTCAGGCTAATTGACATTATCTAAAAGAACGTGATTTATTTCAGTTGGTCGCTCGTAAACAGAACGAATATTTCTAAACATTTTTTTTCGAGTTCGTTGATCGACAATCTTCCCATATATTGCCTTTCGCTTCTCCCGGCAGGATATCAGTTTAACGTTATTAGCATCAAGCGTCGGCCATAGGCAGCTGTCATGAAAAACCGTTCAATAATTTCGCTAGGGTGCCGGACCGCTGCGAAACATTTGGCCTGACCGCATTCCTTGTGTTGACCCCCAGATGATACCCACTTTCCTTCGGGAAAGACAACGTGAACAGAATATAGACGGGAAAACGGAAGGCCCAAGCCAAGAACCATTCGTGGCAGAGCGTTACTAAGTGAAGTTGTTGCAAGGGGGGAGAACAAGACGTTCATATTATGAGAATATGTAACTGGTTGCCATTCTGTTCAATACACTTTTCATATCTTGAAGAAATAGACCTACAAACGTCCAGTATCATTTCCTTGGGTATTTGAGCGCATTCTTCTTCAAATGCTACTCTCATTTCTGAAATTCTTTTTGGTTTCCTGCTATTTTGTCTTTTAGACACCCCCCAAATCCAAGGGTGTCAAATCTGGTGATCTAGGTGGGTATTCAATTGTTCCTCTTCTTCCAATCAATCTTTTTTGCATATTTCCATCAATATAAAAAAATGTATTATTAAGTATTAATATTTAAAGAGTGTATACATTATTTTGGGACACCCTATATATATATATATATATATATATATATATATATATATATATATATATAAAG